TAGCAGGCCTCATTCGAGGTGTTGTTGACGGTTTCTGTCAATCTTTTCTTCACAGATAAATCAACTAGCACCTACAAATTCGTTAATGCACCTCGGCATCGGCAACTTGCGATCTCAGAATGTGTCCTCATGTCTGTGGCCTTGAGGTCAATTTCGAGTAGTTGGGAGACATGTTGCTATGTTGCAGCGACGTTGCGGAAGAGTTGTTGCATGCTGCGTCGAGCAGCATTCGGTCCAAGATCATAGAATTGAAGTGGAGGTAAGCTACGGTATACTGACTCAAATAACTAGCTTGTGTGTACCTCCGCAGCGTGGATCTACTGTCCAGCTCAACACTTCAGCTCGCTCGCCGCGACTGGAGCTAACAGAGGGGAAGATTCATTGTGGAGTCAGCATTCGAGCCCTGTTCAGAGAGAGCAACGTGCACGTGACGGTGAGGCGACGTTCATTTTCATGGAGCGGGGAAAAGAAGGACTCCGTTCGTAGAGGAGTTGAGCCGATGGAGCGCAGAAGCTGTGATAACTTTCGTTGTGGCTATGATCTCCTTTAGAGGAATGAGGTTCCAGTCAGCTCTAAGAAGTCAAGTAGTATGACCTTAAAAAGCACAGAAGCACTCTAGTCCTTCTTATTCTGTGTATTTCCGTTTATCCGGGGTCTGATTCGTTGTTGCATTGGCACCAACTGGTATTTCAAGGATAGAGCACCGACTCGGAGGAAGCGCCAACATACTTCTTAAATCCTTTAGGGCACAGTACCACGCGGGTCACATGGGCGGAGACAGTCAACCGCTGTGTCTAGTTCACTGACAAGGCCCCCTTTACCATATTAAAAGGAGGGCGGAAGTGATGTGACACAGCAGGTATGGATCTCCGCCCATTCGCTTATCGCTAAATGTATCTTCGATGAGACGCACTGGTGTGCTTGTTGAGAAATGGTTTTGTTGAGAAACAGTTAACTTGTACATGAAATAATGAAGTCGATGAAAGTCTTCGCCGTTGATCAATCCCTTTGTGGGATGCGGCACGCATTCTACTTCCATTCAGAATCGTAGTGGCTTATTGAATGCGATGTGGCCTATACAGTTCCTTGCAGGGTAGATGTGGCCTATACAATGACTTGCGGTGGCAGCCGATGTACAAGTCAGTGTTTCATCCTTCCAGACGAATCTGGTACCAATTTACCGTAGTTCCAGGAGGGTAGAAGGCTTGGTTGGCCTGGGCGGGAGTCGACCCGGATTTGAACCCGGCGCCGCGCGAGTGGTAAATGCGCCACGTTCACTACACCTCCTCCGCCTCAAGCTCATGAAATGAGAAGCTTTTGATCCTTGGCTTGCTGATGAATACTGCTATTAAAAATATTATATTCAACGTTTGGAAGTCACTTACACTGCAAACATAATTTTTGCAAAGGCTTGGTATCCATATGCAAGACCAATCTCCCCAGTTTGATGATTCGATGCAAGTAAATAAAGCACTTATAATAGCCAGCAGTAAGATTGACTGCATTCTGAGAAGACTGCAGGTGCAGCTGAACGAGAGCGGCAACTGAAATGAAACATCTAATCAAAGGTAGGCCCTGTCATCATGCTAACAGGATGGCGTTTGAAAGCTTCCATGGAACTCCAGTTGTTAAGAAGTAGAAATTACGCCAGGAGTCTATTGATGATGGTCCGCCTTGTGGGAAGTTACTTCGCTCCCTTCGAAGAGTAAGTTGGAGACCCGCTCAGCTCAGAAACTATGGGTCGGGATTCAGGTATAAATACCGAGGGGCAAGCTGAGTCAATAGAGGGCAAGCTCACTAACAATAAAAGGCAAAGTTTTTCGGCCATGGTCAATCCTCGTTTATTCATTGTATTATATTATCACTAATTATTTCCCATTGCAGATTGTTGTGGCTTATTGAACACGATGTGGCCCATAGAAGACTTGCGGCAGCCGGCCGATTCTTATCGTCTCAGACGAATCTGGTACCAGTTCATCGTTCCTGAGAGTAGAGGCTTGGCTGCTCCTGAGCGGTAAGCTTGATCCGCGATTTTTTTTAATCCGCGGCCCTTTAACATTTCACCTTCAAGCTCGAGTTTGCCCAAGCATAAGAAGAAGAGTGTTCGGATGATTTTCAAGTTCCTTCCCCTGACCACGTCACTCTCATCATTTGCAATGAGAATACCGTGTAATAACCGCACACCCAAGCAGCCCTTAGCAACAAACATAGGGAGGAGCGATATGTAAGTGGCAGGGGATCTTCCCGTTGCAAGCCCAGTGCCCAATCACGTACTTTTGAGCGGGGAAAAACTGGACATCTTTTGCGGTTGCGGAATTGACCATTTTTTACATGGACGGATGCTATAGAGTACAACCAACGGGATGCACCTTGACGGCTTGTCCCGCGATCAAAATGTGGGCAGTGAGACTCAATAACTAGTGACAAAGTAGTACGTAGCTCAGTAGTGAGGAAACAGACACAGTTAAAATGTCGTTCCTAACGACCGAGCTTGTGTGAGCATCATACATCGAAGAGAGGGCGGGCTTGAACCAGTTCTCATTTGTTGGTAGCAACTCCTTCCTTTATCACCTCACTCTCAAACATTCGGAACAAAAAGAGCAAGTCACTTAACAACCACACTACTAGGAAACCTTTGAAAATGAAACATGGGTGTGGTGTCTTGCGCTGGGGAGCGCTCTGACGCGAATGGGTGATGTTCTTCCAAAATAACTTATGAGCGTTTGATACCTCTGTGCTTGCTATGTAGAATTATCGCTTGCCTAATTCTTTTAGATAAGATTCAGAGTTTCCCATATTGTTATTGAACATTTGGAGCGTAGCGCTAGTCCTTTACAGGTGCGAAGTCCAGTATGCTAGGTATGCCCAGCGGGACCCGCAGCAACGTCTCACGACACGTCAGTGACGAGCAAATTACCTTTTCCACGCCATTTCATCGCTTTTTCATGAGGGCGTTTAGCGCTGGGGATGGGAGTTTTTGCTGAAGCATAGAAGAAGTCTCGTCGTGGGTGAACACATCCATTTAGGCAAAGAAGTATTGTATCTCGTAAGAAGTCGTTCATCCACTCCAGAGCTCCTTCATCTTCCACGTCAACCGTCAACACGTAGCATGGCCTAATGTGTATGACGAACCGGAACTTCGACAACCCACCTTCTGCTGCAGAAAAAAATAAGACCAGTCTCGATGGAAGAATGATTTCCTTTTGGATGATAATGAATGATATGCATCCTCCTATCTCATGGCTTATGCTGTTGCTGATCTTTCCGTGTAGAGTTGTCGCGTATGAGGCTGAATTTATGGTTTCGGGTTGGTATTGCTTTAGGCATTTGGTAGGGTGACCCTTCTAGAATGATATGTTAGATCAGGTAAGGCAGGAGATGGGACCACCCTACCTCATCGGGGGATTATTGAGGAGGGGATCGTAGAAGCTCTCAGAGAGTATTTTACTTGTTGATTCTCCCCATTCGGGGCACAATAACCCCCTCCTCCCCCACGATAACTCTACAATAACTCCCACGATCCTGCATTCTTTTGGGAAACTTCGGTCTAGCTTGATAATGTAATATTTTATAGAAACCTTGGTAAAAGAGTTGGCGTGTTTAGGATGGTAAAAGAGTTGGTGGGTTTGTAGCTGTAGGTCACTGAAAAGGGACATTCCGACACCTCCGTCTTGTAATGACTCAACCATTTTATACATCCCCCTGAAATTCCGCGAAAGCCGTGTACATTGAGCACATCAAAGTCTTATGGGTAGAAGAACGACACAGAAGAGTCATTGTGCTTTCCTCATAAATGTTCCTTTTTCTAAGACGGTAGGGGGAATGCGCGCCAATGACGAAGGACCAAGGTGAGCCTTGCTCATACCCGATAACTGTGCTTCCCAAGTTTCTCTGCCCCTATACTCTTGAGAGTATTGGAACTTTACAGGTACCTGTCCGGTGCGATTGTGTTGCCAGCAAGTGACGCAGATTTCGAGAACATTAAGAAAAGCATTAGATATGCTGCAGGAAAGCCGGCTGACTGTTCTCCCCATTACAGAGCTCTGTAGGTTTTTTCAAGTCTTTGCTCCCGAAAACGACCCTTCAGAAATCCTGATACATATCCATTTAGGGCAATACTGGTTTCGTCGCCGCCCAGTTCCACAGGCTCCCTAAATGGCTATGCAACTTTCCAGTCCACCGGGAAAGTGTCTGAGGTGGATCATAACATTTTCTACAGATCTTATCGGAAAGAAGACATTTCAGTACATTTTCGTGGAGAAACCAGCTGCTAGGCGAGCACGCACTGGGAAGTTCGCCGTTGCTGGTTCGATGGAATGGAGAGTTCTCACCAAGCGCCATGGTTGCTCGTTGGTGGAATTCACTGTGGATAAGTGTAAGTAGTGCTTACCATTAGTGCGATGATAAGTTGCTACAGCGACCGAGTTTGTCATCGCAAGAATAAGAAAGTTAACGATACGTGTCCACTCTGGTGTAGAGGCAAGGGGCACGCTTACACCGCGCGGATAAATCATGGATCGGCTTAGGCCAACACTCAGTGGTCTTCTGCACTCTGTGGACGGTGAATTTACGAGATCTGGGAGGATAAAAACACTGGCTTGTGCATTGGCAGGCCCCAGCAAGTCATTCTATAGGCCATATCGCAATCAAAAATGTGATTGTGAAGAACCCATACCTCACCTCGAACATGGGACTGAACAACGGAGAGGAATTCTATTCAAACCGGTGCTATGTGCCTCGGAAGGGGCCGTTCTTCAGTGAGGCTTAGCCAGTTATGTTTCGACGCTACAAAGCCACGTCATGATTATGTAGTTAGTTAACATTGCGCCTCTTCTCTCGAAGTACTGTTCATTTCCGCCTCGACGTTTCGACGCAATCGTTATTAACACGTTTCGGACCACGTGAGACACATGATGTGTCATGGATTCATCTCTTTGCGGCGTTTTATTGCATTAATTTGGCTCTACTTCCATGTTCCACTGTTGTCATAACACACTCTCGATTACGCGATTGGAAAAAGGGATGAAATTATTGATGAATTACTGAGGAAAATTGATACAATGATCCAGGTATGCGCGTATACGGCGGTCCGCAATGTGATGAAGACACTCCCCGCGATCAGCGAAATGCCTCCGTCTTTTTGATATCGTTGTCCGCACTCGCAGAGAATATACCACTTTCGTCACTCGAAATGGCGAGATAACGAAGCTAGAGACGCGTGAGTTTTGCAGCCACCGGTGCAACCGCGTACTGAAACTGTGCAAGACGACGGTTCGAAAGCTGTAATACGTTTGTACATAGAGTTGCCCAGAGCATCGTAGGGCAATTTTCTATGCTCTTGCTGGTGATTGGTTACCTAAAATCCTGCTGATTGAGCCTTCTTCATGATGAACTCGTCCAAGGCGCTGGCCCCACTGCTTGGGGGGGGGTCTGTGCTCAGGGTGTTCCCAACTTTTTTCGCCTCTTGTTCTACTGGAAAGTATGTTAGAGCATGTTACACTGTCTCAGTTAGACGGCGCAGTCAATCAGACAAAGTAGCTAAGTCCTTCTTGAGATATAAGGGCTCTGAGGGAGATCCCTCACGAGGCATGACACGCCTGTTTTCCCCAAAGTCTCTCATTCTTCAATGGCGCAAAGTATGAACCTCGCCTAAATGGAATCGGCTACCCTTTTACAAGATACAGCTCTATCAGTACGTGGAGATAATAATTTTTTTGTGTGCATCAGTCTGAATCCTCATTTCAATTCCCATACCGAAATGAGATCGGTTAAGATGCGTTGAAAATGAGGCTCCTTCTACGGCTAGCCAAAAAAATCATGAGATCTTTTTGAATTTTGAGAACCAGGTTTAGCTTTAATAAAGGTCGAATGGACGGTGTGGTTCCAGTGGTTATTGTTGTGACTGCTTGACTTAATGCGTAAATGCACGCCCCGCGTTCACTTGATGATTAGGCGCTTCCTTTGGAGACGATAGTCCTACCTGTAAGCATGAAAGAGTACTGCTTCCGCAACTCAAACATACGTGAAATAAGCGCCGCCTGCTGTGACGGAACCACCCTGTCGCGGTTCGTGAAGCAGCTGCCCTACTAGCTTTCCATGACTACAATCGGTGGTTCACGAGCCCCACGGCTCACCAGCACTTCCCGTGGTCTGTACCGCTTCCCCACACAGTATAGCCACCGCTCCCCGGCGAGCCCAGGGCTCCGTCTCGCTCCGCTGGTAGACCGCAGGGACGGCAACTCAGAGGGTATACTCCGTGGTGCGTTCGACCTTCCTCATGTCCGCCCTGGTTTCCTGTGTCGGTCAATCCCCCATCGATGGCAGCAGCCTACCATAACATATACACACTTTTACCATAGCACCAGTGACCATGATAACTATCATATAACAATGAAGACACCTAAGCACTATTTGCCGGGCCCACTTACCCGGGTGCTCCTAAATCCCATACATTACAACAAAAAACATCAAGTAGCATTACACCTTCGTTGACTCACGTTTATGGCGGTAACCTTTCCTCCTATCCTCATATCCTGCCGTGGCTAGACTACCACCAACCCTGCTCGTCGAGTGGTTCTAACGGTAACTGCACCCTGCTGCTACAATCTGCAACCTGCAACCGCCCTCGGGTGAAGCGGGCCTCAACCACCACTCCTCCAGACGGATCAATGCGCCCGAAAAGTGCGGTATTGCGAACAATACTGCCTGGCATCATAGTGGCACAGAGGGCCCGATGGTCTATCCTCCCAGAGAGAGAGAGAAGCGCGCCGCCTCGCGCCCAAGGCTCCTGTTGGGGAGGGCCCTCGACGCGATCTGCGGCGTACGCTTCGCGAACTTGGCCGCCTAGCATGGCAGAGCTCACGCGCGCGAATTTCCGGCTAGCAGTAGCGAACGCGACAACTCCGCCCACTGGCCCCGCCCGAGTAAAGTGATAAGGAGAAAGAATTGATACCAACAACTGAGAACTCGCCCAACTACACCCTGTCTTCGCCTTATGCACGTACAAGCGCGGTTAAACCTACGTTCCATGTGGGGCATATCGTGCAGTTTTTTTTTCGTGTTTCTTCTTCACTTTTATGTTATTTCCCACATTGCCATTAGTATTGGAGCCCCACGAATCTTTCTGAGTGACGTGCCTCAAAAGCGTACCCTTTCACCCGTCTTCTTAGGCCCTCTAGCCTTGCCACACTGGGTGCCGCAGCATTTTATGATCAACAGACACAACATCTCTTTGCGATGTTCTATTCATCGTTATCGAAGCTCTTTATTCTAACTAAATGGGTTGGGGTTAACCCCATGGTCCAAATACATCATCAGGATCAATAGGAATTTGGCACTGTGAGCATAGAATTTGGTCGGGTTTAGTCCTCTTTTCGACACAAATTTCTGTACATCTGATAAATCTCTGTTCTCTCTCGCGTTGAAATACCTAAAATAAGTTAATTATTCGATCCAGTCGACGTAACGATGTCATTTACCGCTTCTTCGGGTCCCAGATAGATCACATAACTCGATGCTTTATCTGCCCCATCTTTCCCCATTCGTGGATTCTTCCAGTGCGCTTGCAAGGTGGTGGGATGTATTAGGTCACCTTGTGTTGGACCTTCTCGCCCAGACAACGTTTCCCTTCTCTCTAAAGCTTCGCCAAAGTCTCGAAGTTTCAGCCTAAGCCAGGCCACACGTTTCTTCGCTTCACTCCTTTGAGGTCCAAGCTATAATACGCGCACCTAGGAGTTCGATAGGAGTTAGACCCACCACTGTGCCAGCCCCCCCCCCTTCAAGGGTACTTCTCTTACGTTGATTTTTGGTGAGAAAAGCGGTCGCGCTAAATCGCACCGGTACCGGAAACAAACTTCAAAAATGGAGAATCAAGATTGACTCCCGGACCCTCGATTACCTCTACATGAAGTTCGCCACGAGTTCGGTTAGAATTAAACGCGGCGCCAACTTGGCGTCGCGCCATATGCTTCCGGATAGTCCGCCCTATACCTTTTAACGTGCCCATTTGTCTACTACGATTACTCTTCCAATTACTTCGCTCTTCTTTTCGTCCCTTGAATAAATGGCTCTTTCTCCTGATCAGTCTGTTGCTGAGACCCTGGGACGGCATTCTCCCCAGTGGGGGCACTGTCGAGCTTATCCACGTCATTCTAACGCGTTCTCTCACGAAGGAGAGAGTGCTATGAGGATATGGCATGTTTTGACATTGTCCTAGTCATTAGGTTAATCATGTCATGCCGTCTCGTTGAGAGGATGCAGACGAGCAGACGTGACGTGGCTCCCGCTACAGGGTGCCCTACCCGAGATACATAGCGCAGCGCTGAAGGTTTAAGTGTTGTAAATGTGAATGCGATGCTCTCAAGGGAGTCACACATGTAAGGACAGTGCACCACTTAAGAAATCTTACCGATTTTCCGTTGTAAGGACCCCAGAAGTAGGCGTTGACAGTAGTGATCAGCAGCACGAGAAGCAAAATCAAGCGCATTCTGTGTCAGAACAATGTAAAATATGAATGGATAGGCTGAGAAACCGGTAACCGTATCATCAGCAATCATGAGGTCATCTGATAATGCAACAAAACAGTTGTGCGAAATATCTCCTGTGCAAAGATGATAGTAACGAGTAGCGCGACGCACCACCCTCGGTGCACAGGTGAAATCCTGGAGGACTCCCCCCTGAAACAACTTAGTATTCCATCCCTCAGGTGTCGTTGTTGATACTAGTATTTTGAGCAGGTAGTGACTCTGATATCAGCTCACTCCCCCAAGTCACTGCAGTGTAGGCAGAAAGAGGTTTACAAATTCCACTGCGATGGTGGACAGCAGTGTACAGCAGCCGCTTCCCAGAAGGAGGTGGTTCAGCCAAAAGTATGCTAATCCGTCTGTATTGTTAGGAAAGAATGATAAGAAGCCTACATTAGTCAAAACAACCGGAGTATGATTTTTTTCCGGCCGGGGAAATCGCGCATGGATTTCATTGAAAAGACCTGGCTTGAACACTGGTAGGACCGCAGATGTCTCGCATAGGGAAAAGGAAGAAAATGCTCTTCTGATTCCTCAGAGGAGTCGAATATGTTTTGCATTGTGAAGGCTTTTTCTCCAGCGCATACTCTGAAGCGGATCTATCATGAAAGGCACAGTCCATGATTCAGATGGCGGAAGCATGATCCATTGTGCTTGCCTCAATGACGCGCCCTTCCTTTTACTGCTTTTTCGTTAAGGAGAAGGAGAGGCACACCAATGAGCACGTAACAATCGCTATGTCTCCGCCCATTAAATCAGCACTGACGTGTGTCAACGAAGGCTCATTCCGCGCTGGCCGCATGGGCGGAGTCACCTAATTTTGCTCCCTTCACATTTATGACCTTATTTTACCAAGGCGAGTATTAGTAAGGGAAGCGCATATGGTTCAAATGTCTCTGCGATTAGCGTGGAGTGCGTCTTCGATTTTCATAATCATCAATGGGAAGGATCCTGTAAGAGGAAAGAGGAAGAGAGCATATTGAAGGTAGATAGATACAGCAGATGAGTGTCTATGACTGAGTGTGATTCTTCCTCCGAAAAATCATTAAATATCGTGCAGCTTTTTGTGGGCGAATGATTTGACCGAGAGAGCATTTCAAAACATCATCGTGTTATTCACAGTTTGTGACTCATTCACTCATGACAGCGGTGGAATGTGTCTATTCGGACGACTGTCATCTGCTTTGTGCTAGAAAAAGGGTAGATTACATCTGTTCCAGAATGCCCCATCACAAACGCAGCTGCCGCCACGTTCGAATGAAGTACGCGGCCACGCCCCTTCCTTTCCCATGATATGCAGTGTCCTTACGCTGTCCCTGGTAATGGCCACCGTTCTCTAAGTTGTTTGCGTCCTAATAAAGTACAGTGGCTCAAAAGATTTCGAGACAGCCACTTTTTTGATGATAAAGTTTTCAAAGAGGTTAGGTTAATTGGATATAATAAGTTGCTTGGTTTATGCAGAATCTCGAAAAGTTGACGACATTAAACCTCAACATAATTTTTAAGCTGTTTACGGGATAGTAGGCAAGAAAGTTTGTATTAATTAAGTTGGCGAACTTAGTCTGCTTAAAGAGGAAATACGGATAGATCTCAGAATTTCAGTTGCACGCCACCTTCCGCGGCTGATGTTTTCCCATATGCTGTGTCCGATCCTTGGAGACGAGCTTTATGGGAATCGTCTTGTTGAAATTGATGGCCGGCCCGCAACTGTACAGCCGAAAGATCTTCGACGTGTGAGAAATGCACGGGTAGGAAAGCTTGCGAACTTTTTTCAACATTTCGGTTATAATGAGTGAATCTAGTTTGAGTAATTTATTAAATAAATCAAATGTATGACTTTGAGTTTCTTTTCAAATAGTTTGTCTAGTTCGTCTGTTTACTCCAAGCAATCTAACGCTGTACTCTGGGGTCGCAAACGTGATGCCCCAGGGTCAGGAATCACGGAAAATCGCTCGTTCGGGACGACTCCCCTCCTGAAGGGCTGTCTACGTCACCCACCTGTTACTTGTTTTCGAGGTATTTGTACTTACACGGTGGCCTGGGACCAGAATAACACGGAGATTTTTCAACGAGCGCGAGTTTTCGAATTATTATTGGGCACAAATTCGTCCACACATTACATTGAGCCGAAATCCTATACTTTTTCTACTCGACGACTGCGCCGCAATTCAAGCGTCACTGATACATTTGATTTTAACCCAGTGGATTGAGTCAGCTAGCTAAGGATGCTGGTTTAAAGGCTGACTCCGTGTTCGTCTGGTGCTCAGACACTTTCTTCGGACATGGTATGTAGTGTGCTCGCTAGCACGGAGGATGTGCTATTTTCGCAGCACAAAATACGTGACAAACGCGTGACCCGCTGAGCTCGAGGCCACGGCTCCGCCCACTGACCCCCTCGACGCTCAGCTTTTATTTCTGGAGCTTCCTGGCGGCGCGGTTGTTATGCTTTTGCTCTCTCCATTTCGAATGATGAGAGTGAAGTGGTAAGCGGAAAGAGCTGATCCGTACATGAGAGAACTCGTCCGAGTACTTCGAATTATGCACGTACAGGCGCCTCGGCATGGGGTCCTAGCTGAAACATTTCAAGCTGATCCCGCATTTTCTTCATTTTCGTGTTAATCGCCATCCTTTCGTTAGCATTTGAGCCGCGCAGCTGAGCTTTTTAAAGGAGGAGGGTGCCTTTGATACGACAGTACGACTGCGGCCAAATGATACAACCATTAGAAGCTATTGTGCTTGAATTGTATTCTGGTTGTTTTTCTGTATTCATCTCTTCGGACAGCCATGCCTAAAGCATCAACAGATGAAAATGTTTCAGTACTTCCCCAAAGCACTCACTGAGCATTTTGGTGTGTCCGCCTCGGAGCTTCAGAGAGCCATGCCTCTCTATTGTCACGTGCACTCGACGGTGAGTACAGTAGTTTTTGGAAATAGCTGTCTCTGATAAATTTGGAGTGTTTTTAGTTTTTTCCACGTTACGGATGGGTGATTGGTCGACCGCGGAGTGAGCAAGATGTCGCTGACCTTTATGCCAACATTCCACCACCACGTAGGAGTTTTTCTTTCCATTAGAACTGTTAGCAGTATCCAAAACAGAATTTTGGAGAAAAATTCTACCTGAATTGTTCCAGGGCATTTTCTGGCCATGGTAGAAGCACTGGGAATGAACGAATCGCTGATGAGATATTTCCAAGAAGACGACAATGAAGACGAACAGCTGATCGGTGGTGATGAGAAATTTTGATCCAGTGATGCTATTTCCATCTCATCCTCCATCGGAGGGGAGCAGTTGTATGCTGGAGTCGTTCTCTCTTCCCGATGTACCGTCTGTAAGCTTGTACTGGTCTTTTTTTACTGTCGCTAATTCAACACACTTTCCGGGTAGTTCCGCGTGTTCTTCTATTCTGTTAGATTCGTTTGCATTGACACTCGACCCCCCATCATCACGCCCATGGGAAGGCTATGTTGTGGCTGCGCGCACGCGTCCAGAGTATGCGGTATACCCGTGCAAACAGTGTAAGGACTTAAATGGTTAGGAAGTTCAACCAGTTTGAGTGAAAGGTTAGCTGCAGGTCAGCACTCGTTTTCAGCGTTCTGGTTCCTGTATCTTCTTTCAGACTAACGGCTACTGAGTGGAAAATCACGTGCTATTACCTTTTGCCCTCCTTCTCATTAGGTCGCTGGAGCGGGTTGCTAACAATCTCGTAGCGCGTTGAGGTTCATCCCTATCAACGGTCATCGCGAAGTATGAACGCTGCATTGATGTCCCCTAGTAGAAAGTTACCAGCACCACCGGCTCGTTGTCCCATTGCTCATCGAGCTGCTCGAGCGGGTACTAGCAATCTCAGTGTGGGTTGCAATGGTAGTGCGACGAGGCATGTCATCGTCAAGTCTGAACGCTGCTTTAACGTCCTATGATTCAGTCGGTACCCCTCTGACCCAATGGTCAATACATCATCGCATGGTTGCTCAGAAAAAACTCCTCGTTGCCGAGTCTCCCTGTTTCTTTTTCAGTTCTGATTTATTACACCGTTCCACCACTCACTATCCACGAATGGATTGATCAGGAGCGGGCGCGGGATCTTGTAGCGGGCCCATTATAGCGGCCCCACGTGACTCTGCCTCAACATAAAAGAAGTACGCTATACCGTCATCTTTGGGGATCCCGATCCTTGGCATGTGTGAGATGAGCGGGCCTGCAGTAGCTGGACTGCGCTACATTTGTCGAAAGAACACCGCAGTGAAGCTGGAGGGTAGTGATAGCCAAGTACTGTTTCAGAATGCACGTACCGGTGAAGCACGCGGACACGCACCTTGCCGCTCAACCAGCCATACGCCCAACTAAAGCCGAAAGCGTTGCTTGTCTGGGCCCTCCCACTTTTAAATGTTCGCCACGGCTGTGCACTTTTCAGCTTGTCAACGCTTACTCCTTGACTCTAAAATCGACGCAAGCGCCGCACATTGTGGCCAGGGAGTGGCCTTCTGAGGCTTCGATCGCATCGCATGAAGAGCGATCGCCACTCTTCAGTTACATTTCTGCACACTTCACCTTGTCCACGAGCAAGGACTTAACTTGCAGGTGCGCGTACAGAGTCTTCCTAAAATGTGTGAATACATCATGATTTGGTGCTCCACTGCTCCTCGACCGAAATCTAAAGCCTCTGAAAGCGACGGGAAGGTCGCAATTTCTCCCAGAAGTCAGATATTCAACGTAACTTCTGTGCGAGTTCAATAGAGAAAGCTGGAAACTACTACGGGAACGGCTGAGCCAACTCGCTTTTTTCACCACACTTGCAAGACCCCCTCCCATACTCACTGATGCTTTTTCTTAATTCTTAGTCAGATTAGGTGACTACATAGGACTGAGGTACTCTAGTTCGCTGCGGACGGTTGGGCGTGTCAGACAGCATGAAAGCC